ATGGCATTTTGCATCCTCCTCTACTAGTGATGGTCTAAAATTTGGGGGCCAACAGAGGTGAGGCAAAGAACCTCACCCCCCCACAGGTGCAAAGGCCTATCCACAAGTATGGCTGTATGCTGGACCGGTAGTCAGTGACGGGTATGATCCAATTGCAGTGGTACCAACCTAAGACAGGAGGCTGACGCCTAGAGGTCAGTTCATCCGATGACGGGTAAGGACCATATGTTGAATTGGACTGCCTAACAGGCACGGTCCCTAAGCCACATGCTTGTTGTTTAAACAGAGAGGGGGAGATGTTGAGAGCCACAGCCGAAGGGGCCCCAGCAAACTTCCAGCTGCCAGCTGATGATTGGCTCACAGCGGCCCCAGCAACATCTAGCTGATTGGCTCCTCGGCCCCAGCAACATCTAGCTGATTGGCTCCTCTGCGGTGATGCTCATTGGACTGTTTCCCTGCCCTTTCAGACCACGGAGCTGCTCATTGGGGGACTTTTTTGGCTCCGCCCACGTGACCCATCCAATCGGCCTCAAGAGCAGGAGGATTGGGGGAGGTGGGGAGAAGCTTGTGTGGGAGAGAGAGGCTTGTGGAAAGCCGGTGGTGGCAGTTGAGGCTCTGAGGGTTTTTCCTGAGAGACTATTTTGTTTGTTGTGTGTGGTTCTAAAAATAAAGTTAGTTTCTTTTGACAAGTGGCTCCTGATTGTGCCCAGCCAGACTGCGGCACAAGTGTTCACCTAACGGCTGATTCCACCATTTATCATGAATGTGATCTGGAGGGAGGAATTTGACCCATTTGAGCCTCTGATTCCTCATCTGAAAAATATAGTATGTTAGAGATTAAATTAAATAATGTCTGATACATCCAAAGTACACAAAATATGATCACTGGCATCACTAGCCAAATGCAGACTCTATCAGACTAACTGGAACTGACTTTCTGAATCTTTTTTGAGAATCACAAAAATGGCCCTTCTTCACTCAGTACTTAAGGCACCTTTATAAGTTAACTGCTACATTCACCAAAACAGCCCTGGCAAATAGAGGGCCATCCGTGAATGAGAGGCTTCAACTACATTATTATTGACCAATGTGTAGTGTACTAGTGGCTCATTAAGAGGTTTTGCAGTGGTGCCAATTAGTTTAATGACACGGTTAATTTAATGATATCTTTTGGTTTTTGTTTGGTTTATTTTTGCAGTTGTGAACTAGGACAAAATGTATGTTTAGCATTTAGACTGGTATACAATAAATGCTCAATATGTGCAGGCTACTACTACTAATGCTCTCTTTTTTAATCAACACTGCTGCTTATGGGTGGATCATACTAAGTTCTGCATTGGAGACTGGAGGATGGATTCCATGGGGGCTGTGGAGGGAGGGAAAGAATGTGGGCAACAGTGAATTTAAGTGAACTTAATCTCTCATTCACTTACCCCAATGTTCTAAGATTTGAAAAAAAAAGGATAGAAAGAAAAACAATCCCCTTCTCATAAAAAAAGGTGAATATGGCAAACTAGAAAATTCTGGATTGTATGTAAAGAGTTCCAAGATGGAAATGTCTATCCTTTTCTCTCCAAGCAGGATCTGTGAGGTCTCTAAGGTCCACTGCTGGGCCTTTCCAACTGCCCCATAAGGGCCCCAAATAGCTTTAGCTCTTTGCATTGTGTCTTCTTGTAATTGTGTCACATTCATATGGCAGTTACCTTCATCAACAAATCCACATTCTTCAGATATATGATGCAATGACTATGTACTGCATATTTGTGGCACACAGAGAGGTCCTCTCTTTTATTTCCTGGATTGAGCAAATAAATGACTCTGTCAGAAAGGAATTTCACTTTGCATATTGTTAAATTATGCTTCAAGGGTTTTCCCAGCCAGGGAACAATGGAGTCTTGGCTCCTAAACATTGACATCTACCTGCGTTGCTCCCTGTAAATACTAGACCAGGTCCTAGGAAACGGGCTGCTAATGTTGTAAGAGCTGTAGGACCAGCTTCTCGACTCTGATTCTAGTTAGTTCCTGGTAGTCAGAGGAAGAGCATTTAATTTAAATAACTAGTCCATTAAACTTAATTCTAATTATTTTTCTTTGTTATATTCTGAGATCCAGAAACTATTGGTATATACATTGCTTTTGAGGGGGGGAAGTCAGAGCACGGTTTTTTTTTTTTAAAAAAGAGTAGGATATCTCCCATCTCCATATATATTTTTAAGTCAACATTATCTTCTAATGCACAAAAATACATTTGGGGAAGTAACTTCAAGATTCTTTACTATATTGCAATAGATGACTCAATTTCCTTTAATCTTTCCTCATGACAGGTATAATTTTCTTAAAATATTTGTGGAGTAGGGAGAAAATAGAAAATAACAAAAAAAATGAGGGATATAGATATATTAGTGATTTCTGGCCACTAGATATACCCAGTTGCTCTGTGTGCTGGCCCAAGGAGGGTCCAAATCTTAACATAACTAATCTTGGCTGATTAAGAATAAGGACAAAAAATTTTACAGGAATAATTTTCTTCTCTCAAGTGATTTCTTCTCTCATGTGATTTTTATTTTGTCTCAAACAAATTTTTTGAAAAAAGCTTCCTTAGGTATATTACCTAAAAAGATGCTTATTATAACTAAAGTATTTCCTGATTCAGTAAAGTTTAGTCCTGATAGTCAAATCCTCAGAAAATACTCTGGGATTCTCCAACATCTTCTTTTTCTTATTTGATAGTTACCTGTACCTGAACCAAGACCTGGATTGCTGCTTGTGCAGAGACTCAGCTCTGTGAGTGAGGTCACATGCCTATCTACATTTGACCCCTGTGATTTTTCTTCAAATTTCTGCGGAGGTAGAGGGCTGCCATTCAGAATGACCCTGGAGAACATAGTGGTCTCCTGTACCATCATGCTATACAATTCATCCTTGACTTAGTAGGAAGCAAGGGAGGGTGTTGGCATCTGCTGTTGGCTGAACTTGAGGAATCAGGGAAAGTCAATCAATACATGGCCTCTGTCTTGGGAACCGCTACTGTGGCATCACATGTGCCCAGGAGAGAAGATGATTAAAAGGACTGAGCATCCACACCATTGCCTTTTTTTTTTTGTCGAGGTACATGAGGAACTCAAGATTGACATCACCTTGGGCATTCAGAATGGCAGAGGCAGCCTGGGTGGTTGTCTGCCAAAAAACATGGCTCTGTGATTTTTGTGTTCATCCCATGTTTTTGCTTCATGACTAATTTTTTGCTGAACATTTGTTGTGTAAAAAACATTTTCTCAAAAAGTTAAACATGGATTTACAATATGACCCAGCAGTTTCCTTTCTTGGTGTATACCCAAAGAAATGAAAGGAGGGTCTCAAACAGGTATTTGTACAAATCATATTCCTCACAGCATTATTCACAGTGTCCCAAAAGTAGAATCAAACCAAATGGATCAATGGGTAGATGGATAAACAAAATGTGGTTTATACAATGAATTACTATTCAGTGTTAAAATGGGATGAAGTACTAGTGCCTGCTCTACAAAGTAGATAAACATGGAAGTCATGCTAAGTGAACAAAGACTGACACTAAGGGTCATGTAATATATGCTTCTCTATGTGAAGTATCCAGAAAAGCAAATCCATAGATAAAGAAAGAGTAATGGCCACCAGAGGCTGGCTGGGCAGAGTGGGGGATGGAGATGGCTTCATGGATATAAGTCTTTCTTTTGGGGTGCTGAAAATGTTTTGGAACTAGAAAGAGATGATTGTTGTACAACATTGTGAATGTACTAATGCCACTGAATTACATACTTTAAGATGATTAATTTTTGTTTTGTGAATTTCACCTTAATTTTAAAAAATCTATCATAATATTTCAGAAATCCAGGAATAGAATTTAAAAAGTAAAACATATTCATTTATTGAATACCAAACATAGAGATGTATATAGAGAAGTCTCAGTTGACTGTTAGTATATATTGGCCAGGTTGCTGGTACATTTTCTTTTTAAGCTTTCTTTGTGCTTTTTATATAACATCCTCCTCTCTACATGGCTTTGCTTCAAGTAGTCTCAAAGTCTTTTTAGAAGTAGGTGAGATCAAATTATAACTGCATAACTAAAATCAATTTTTTACATTTGGAAGCAAACAAACAAAATTGCTTATCTAACCTGAGGTTAAAACTTTATCAGAAAATAAGGCTAGGCTCATGCCTCCATTGTTCTTCTGACTCAAAATTAATTTTGCCATAATTTAACCAAAATGATACACGGTCTCATTGTCTTTGTGTCATAAGAAGGTTTTGCTTGAATGTGCTGTTTCTGAGGTGCCAGTTTTATAGTGGCATCCATGTTGACCTCTAATCACACTGCCCTGCCCATTGGTATGTTATGGAATAGTTTATGCCCTCATTAACTTTGATGATTATAATTAGGTGAAGCTATGAATTGTATGCAGGGCCAGTCCTCTGGGGTGTTCCTGATTCAGTTTCCATAAACAATCAAGAGATGATGAGTGTTGCTTAGTCAGAGTCCAGATATTGCAATTTAAATATCTGTCTCTTGAAAATAAAACTCTTCCCCTAGAGAAAAACTAAAAAGCCAGAAGGCAATAAAAGTCAATATAGAGCTATCCTTTGGTTACACAGGGTCCCCAATCAGTGGAGCTTCAGAAGAAAGGCAGTGTTTCCTTGGTGGTTGGTCCAGTTTAGGGAGGAAGAAAAGCTATGCTATATGGCATCTATGGATCTCTTAGTATCTCTTTAGCCCTCACCAAAAGCCTTGTACAGACACATGGCTTTCTCCCCATTGCAGAGGTGACTGAAAGCAGACTTGTGTCCCTGTAGGCTTGTGGCACACAGCAGGGGCTTCAGCTATGAGAGCCAAAGCAGAGCACATCTGAGATTCCTGATCCACCTGGATGGGGAAGAGTACAGGCCCATGAGGGTCTGTCTTCTGGACGGTGATCCAGGGCTACAGGGCTATGGCACTGTATCTGTCCCTCTGAGATAAGGTCAGAGTCTCATCACCTTATGTCTGATTCCAAGGAAAACAGTGCCAGAAAAAATGAGCAGGGAAAAAATAGAAAACACTAAATCACTGAGCTTCCCAGAGGACTTTCAGCAAGGAGGCCAGGGTCACAGCCACATGCAATCGAGGGCCAGGGTGGGTGGAGGAGTGGTGCCTGTGTTAGCTTCACAGACCCACCCCACAGCCTCCTCTAGGGATGCTGAAGCAGGAGTGGGAGGTGGAAAATGTCTTTGTTACCCAAGAAGCCCTTCAGAAGCGGAGGGTAAGTGTTCCATAGAGAGGATGAGAATTCTGAGCAGAGGTGTCTGCGGACGGGGGCCTGGCTTGGTGAGTGGGGACTGAGTCAGGTTCCTGGTGCTACCATGGTCAAGGGTCTGGAAAACATTTGGTAATAGAGGATTATTTTTGTGATGTTCTCAACTTCAAAGGGAGCACAGTTGAATCCTAATGAATGTACCTGTAAAGGAGTAGACAGTGGATCAATTCGGAAGACACCATGACTATTTGGAGCTTTAGTATACAACAAAAGTGCCCTTTCAACCAGTGTCATGAAATAATACTCCATGGATGGTGTTAAAAGAATCTGTGGTTCATTTGGGGAAAGTAGTTATATCAATCTGTGAAAACAAAATTGTACACAAATCAAATACTAAATAATCATCATAAAATTACTAGAAGAAAAATGGAACATACGTCTAACCTGGGGAGTTGGGAAAGCCATAATGAAAAAGATGACTAAGTATAATCACGTCGGGGTTGTATACCAAGGTCTCAAAAAAATCCCCACGGAAGATTTTCCATGTTTGATATGAAAAAAACATTGTCACCTCTCCCTGGCTCCATGGAGGTAGAGGACCAACTGCTTTCATCAAAATCTTTCTCCCCACCTAATGTCCTTCTCAGGGTCCTTTCAGGCTCTTAAAATTCTTGAAGAATTAAAAGTCCTGAATTTTTTGATGACTTCCCTGACATCTTCCATGATGATCTTGTATCTTACTTTGGTTTAGAACATCTATTATTTTGGGATATCTGGTTCTATTTTGGGGTGTGTGTTTGTGTATTTGTGTGTGTGTGTATGTGTGTGTGTGTGTGTGTGTGTGAGAGAGAGAGAGAGAGAGAGAGAGATCAAATTGACATCAGCAGGGAGGGGAAATGAGTGAAGTAGTGACTGGTTAAGAGGGACTTGAACTTTATCTGTGTTGGGTTTTTATACTGACACTATATTCATGCATTACTTGTGTAATTAAAAATAAATGAAATTAAATATACTCTAGACTGTACTGGTTGTATCTCTGCAACTTAATTTCCATCTGCCAATGAAAATAAATCTGAAACCTTTCATTTGAGTTAATGGCCCAACTTAACGTGTTGTTTTATTGGAAGAAAACCAAACTGTGAGGCATTTTTCAGGGCTCTGCTTTGGATGGCTGTTTGGGTCACAACCTGGGTCTCCTGATATTTGCTTTTTCGAGATATGTACGTAATGTGTAATATAAATTTGCCCTGGTACTTTGACTTCCTGGCTCTGAACCAACCTTAAAGGATGAATGGCAAGGCCAGCCACTTCCTCTCTTGCAAACATGAGAAAATACATAGCTACCTGGTCTGTTTCCAGCTGGATTCAAAGTCCAGTAGGTAGGCTGTTTATTTGAATGGTGAAATTGAGCTTGGCCTCTGTTTGGCTTCCCCAAACAAGCTGAATAATCACTTTTCTGATTTTCAGACAGCATCCTGGGGATATGTTGGCAAAAGGGCAGAAATGGAATGAAAAAGGTGATTAGGACTAAATGTGAAATGTGACTCCGGCTGCAAGCAGACTAGGCAACACACAGCTGTGAGGGCCCAAGCCCTGATCTTTGCCAGGCCCCTTTCCTCTAAGTAGTTTCCCACCCTGTAGTAACACTCCCTTAATAATGCCTGTTTAGTGCTGGGTAAACATTTCAAAGTGCTTCCACATCTATTTGAAAACACTTCTGTATCTACTGAGCATTCACAATTATTGGTCCCAGGGCTGGCATTAGAAAGAGCCACTTCCTCTCAGAGTCTAGTTCAGAGAAACAGACACTCAAACCAACATTACAACTTGGAAAGTGCTATGAGAGAAATAAATGAAGAAGCTATGGCAAAAAAAGAGGCAGGGCAGTTAGAGTTAGGGGAGAGCTGGTGTACTTTGGGGAGAGGAAATGGCATGTACGAAAGCCCTGAGGCATGGAACTGTACCATTTTGAGAAATGTTAGTAATCAAGGTATTATATAAGCCTAGTTAAGGTTCTTTCCACATGGAACATATTATGTGTTGATCTACAAAGCTTGAACCTGACCTGAAGGCTAGGAGAACATTTGGAAAATTCAAAGAAGAGAAGGGACTTGCACATATCTACTCTACTTGGTGAAGAATCAATTATAGGAGGCAATATTAGAGGCTGAGAAACCCAATGAGAAGCTATTTCAGCAATCCTCAGGAGTGATCACTTCTCCAAGACAGAGTTACCAGGAAACAGGATTGGTGAGTGGAAATGAAAAAAGTGAAGGAAGTTGGGTGTATCAGTGACTTGTTGGGTGCTACAGAGATGCAGAAGGGTGTTTAAGTTGCTGAATTTGGTGACTGGGTGAATCAAGGCATAATTCACAAGGCAGTGCAAACCAGGAGGATGAGGGTCAGGGAGAGTTGACACATACAATTTTATAATATACATAGTCCCTCACCCTTTCTAACCAAATTCCAGTGAAGTCTATACAATAGCATGATGAAGTCTATTCTCTGGCCAAAAATCTTAGGCATTCCAGGTAAATGGACTTATCTAAGGTCCCCACCTGGTTAGTTTCAAAGATGAGACTAGAGCCATGTTTTATTTGTTCCAGTGCGGAACCCCTTTAGCTGAACTGTGAAAGTCATTTTCTTTGTCTATATATCCACCTCCACACTTTGGGCAGATTTCTTCACTTATTCAGCCTGTGTTTAAGAATGTCTGTGCCAGCCTCTCTTTAGCTGCTGGGACCCAGCTGTGGAAGTCCCACTCTTATGTAGCTTACCCCAAGGACTCAGATGACACAGACACAAGCAGTTATGCAGACAGAGCAGGCAGCTGTTTTGGAGGAATGGGAAGCACAGTCAGGTTGCTAAGTGTTTGGGAGGTGGCTGCTGCTTCCAATGGGTCACAGCAAGGCAGATCTTTTAGGTCAAAGGTTGAGCAGAGATCAGAGGATGTTTGTAGGAGGGAGGGAGGTGAGGGAGTGAGTCATGTGGGTACCTGGGAAGCTGTAAGTGCCAGGGCACAGCTGTGAGGAGGTGCTTGACACATTGGAGGGACATGAAGAAGGCCAGCATGGTGGAAGCAGTCCCTGTGTGTGTGTGTGGGGGGGGCAGCGAGTAGAATGGCAAGAGGTGAGATCAGAAAATTGGCTGGGTAGGTCTGATTGAGCCTTCCTCTCCAATCCAAGGACTTTGGCTCCTGGTCTGCTGAGTCACCTGGGAATCAGTGGCTGGAGCCCTTCACAGAGCAAGGATATGTGTGACTTGCCTTTTTAAAGGCTCTCAGTCCCGCTGTGAGGAAAAGGGCAGAGCAGGGGGACCATACTGGTTAGCAATCATTAGAGCCTACGACAGTATGACACGAAGATGTCAAGATCTGGGTGTTTTGAGGGTAGACACAGTAAGATTGGTGATTGAATACAAGATGTGACCCAAAACTAAAAGCAGGGAAGGTACTAAGTATTTTCCCAGAATAACAGCAAGGGTGAAGTTGGCATTTACTGGGGAAAGTAACGAAGCAGGAAGGAGGGGGGAAGAGCAGCTTTGGTAGCTGGAGGGAGATGTTTGTTTGGGGATATGTTGATTGGAAATGTTCAAACTGGTGACATCACCAGGGAGTGAGTGGGGCCAGAAGAGGAAAGAAGACTAAAGACTCAGCCTTGCAGCTGAGCTGTCATTAACATGACAGATGAGGAGAAACTGGGAAAGGAGACTCAGAGAAAAGCACAAGAAAGAGGAAGAGGGCCAAGGGAGGATCCGGGCCCAGGATCAAGTGAAGATGCATTTCTATAAGAGACAGATTTGTTCTGCCAACAGACTGATCAGGAAACAGAGATCTGGGAGCTGACCATAGGAGAGGCCATCAACTCATGGAGGCAAGGAGGTCTTCCGTGACCTTGACAACTGGGATTCGGATGGAGCAGTGGGAGATGGAGTGCAGTTTAGATGGCAAGAAAAGAAAAACAAGGCCAGGGGACCGTCAGAGAAGTTCCTGGGGATCGTTTGTTTGTTTTCGATAGGCAATATTACCACTTATTTATAGGCTACATTCTGGAGAGAAGGACACTTTGGTGACATGAGTATGATCTTGTAGGCCATGCACACATTGAACCAATTAGCAGATACTGCATTGCCTAAGAAAGAGGAGGTGGGGTCCTTGTCTAAGAACCCTGAGGAGCCCCCAAGATGAGGGAAGGATTGATTAGAGTGGCTTGTAAATGCACAAAATAAATTTATGTGGGCAACTAGCTATTCCCAGAGGATAAGAAAATGCTGGATTCGTGCTTTGTACTTGACATTGAGATGTATTTCAGATGTATTAAATTTTAAATGCTAAAGAGTAAAATTATAAAGGTATTAAAAGAAACTATAGAAAAAATTAAAAAGTAATCTTGGGGTATGGAAAACATTCAGGACTATGATATAAAAACAAGTATCCCAGCCAGGTGTGGTGGTAAGTGCCTCTAATCCTAGTGGCTTGGGAGGCTGAGGCGGGAGGATCAAGAATTCAAAACCAGCCTCAGCAACTTAGCAAGGCCCTAAGCTACTCAGTGAGACCCTGTCTCTAAATAAAATACAAAAAAAAAAAAAAAAAAAGTCTGAGGATGTAGCTCAGTATGCCTGGGTTCAATATTGGCTCCACCCAAAAAGAAAAACAAGTACCCCAAAATGAAAATATTGATAAATTCAACCTCATATAATAGAAAATTTCACATACTTAAAAGTAGTCAAATGGTTAAAAATAAAAGACAGGGAAATAGTTGTAACTCCTAAGACCAACAAACAGCTAATTTCCAAACTATATGGGGCTTTTACAAATCAATACAGTAAAGACAAACAACCCAAAGGGAAATGAGGAAAACACACTCAGGCATTATAAATTGGCATTACTTGTTTGGAAGATGGTCAGGCAATAGCTTTCAGAATTAAAAATGCATATACCTATGTCCTAGAAATATATTACAAATATTTTTTTTTCCTGCAAATAAACTTCTACATGTGTGAAGGGATGTTTATTCAGGGTATTTTAGGCAGGATTGTTTGTAATAGTAAATTACTGGAGGAAACCTGAAGGTGATCTTTTAGTAGGAAACTGGCCTTTTGAGAGAGCAAGGCAAGAGAATACTAGGTCATCCTTAAAAAGAGAGATACTGCTTTCATGTGCTTTGATCTCTACTATACATTGTTAGAAAAGAGGTCTCTAAAGTACATTGTTATATTTTAAAAAGATGCAGGGTCATTACATCATGTTGTACTGTTTGACACAGTTCATCATAAGAGTAAAATTAAGTGTGTAGCCATGTGGGAAAGGTGTGCTGTGGATACCTGCTGCTGCACATGGGCACATCAAGGAGTCTCTGAGATGTGAAGGATCAGAGGCAGGATGGGCCACAAACACCATGAAGGGAGGACACACAAACTTCCCACAGAACTTCCAACTAATTCTAGTCTCAGGACTCAGGTGGCTGTGGGAAGGAGTCGAGCTGACCTAGGTCACTAGTTGCATAGTTTGGGAGCGCTGAACAACCTCCCATTTTCAGAAGCTGAAGGGTATGTGCCAAGGTTATAGGGCTCTTTGAACTTGCAGTACTTACGGGGTAGAATGGCACTTTCTTAACTGGATAAAAGTTGCTTATCAGTGAGCCACAGCAAATATCACATATACTATGATAACAGAGACTCTTCCACTCCTGTGAGCAATCAGTCAAATGTACACTATCAGTGCTTCTGCTTATCATTGTACCTAAAGCTGGCCAATGCAGTAAGTCAGGCTTTAAAAACATAACAAGTAGATGCTGGGCATAGATAAAACTGCCATAAATTATGAATTGGCTATGACTTTTCTAAGAAGCTTTTTTTTTTTTAATTTGACACATGAGCAAACTACTAGAACATCTAGCAGCATTTCAGTTAAAAGTCTTGTCTTTTTTTCCTAACCTAAAGTATCTGTAGGGTGTTGAAAATTTTTAGAAAATAAAGTTAGACAACTTGTATTGTTCAAACAATACATCTCTGTCTTTCACACAAACAGATGGAGGGAGTAAAGATCTAAATGTGAAACCCAAAAATATACAATTATTAGGAAAAATTTTGGAAGAATACCTTTATAATCATCATTTATCTCAGAAGCCACAAAGAAAAAAACAAGTAAATCAACTAGAAAATTAATGAAAATTTCTGTAATCTCAAACGTCTAGTGAACAAATAAAACAATAGCCATGGTGCAATCATTCGGGGAAGAATTAGGGCAGATGGTTGCTTGAGTCATCATTATCCGTAATAAATAACACAAAATTGCAACAACTTAAGCACCCACTAACACAATGACCAGATAAGTGATCTTTCCTGATTACTATGGACATGTCCAGAGTTCATGCCCTTAAACACTGTTATGTTCTTCCTCTCATTGGAGTACATGGCCTTCACATAGTCCCAATAATATGTCTTCAGAAACAGTCTTTCACCATCTAATCAGTTATTTTATCCATTCATTAATCTTTCCTCATCTTACATTTACAATCACTCATGTGGGCCAACTAGGAACACTGCATTCTAAAATGTTCTAAGAGATATTTAAAAAAAAATAAGGTCTTCAAAGAGCTGCAGGTGCATGCTTGTTACAAAAGCTTGATGACACATCATTTCTCATGTGGAGGTTGTTCCTGTTCCAAAATACCAATTATAAAAAAGGTAACACTGGAAATATTTTTCCTAGACGATTGATGGAATGAGAATAATTGAAATCTTATTTTATTCTCCTTAGCAGTGTAACCTTGAACAAGTCACTAAAACTTGCTGAACCTCAGGTTTTTTATCTGTGAAATGGGTTGATGATCAACTTCGGTATATTTGAGGAAGGGTTACATAAGACATAAACATGGCCCCCAACAGAGGCTAAAGAAATGCTCCCTCCTTGAAGCTTTATTACCATTGAGGAACTTAAATTCTGGACAGTGAGAAGACAGAGATAAACAGATAACTGCACAATTATGTTTTTAAAATGGTATGAAAGAGGTAAGCACAGGCAGGGGTGAAATCAGAAATGTTGAGCCCATGTTTCCTCACTTGTATGCCATGCACACCATCGGTAGCTAGTTCAGGGCTCTGGAAGATCTATGCTATGGTCCAGGTATCAACTTCTAATAGGTGAATCAAAAGGAGGTGAGATGGGAAGTAGATGGTATCAGAAGCCAGTGCTGCCAAGATTACAGGGAAAGATTCTGGGGTTTGCTCAAGGAAGATTAACCCAGCTCAGAGGCAAAAGTATTTGGGGCTGATGCTATTTTTGTAAAGACAGAGGAAGGGCATTTACACTGGGAGATGTCAGAGAACATTTCCCAAAAGTACAAATTCACCAGAAAAAAAAAAACTTGTAGAAGAAACAAGTGAATTAAAAGTACATCATCATATTTTCCTTTGCCATGTCTAATAAAAGATACAAAAGTATTAAAAAATCATGAAGTTTTCACTATCAGTAACCAGTGAAGAACTCAAACTAGCCATAAAGTCCAAAGCTTGATGGTCAAGGAAAGCAATGGAAGGCCAGAGAGAGCAGAGAAACTGCAGTAGGACTGGCTCCTAATGACCCCCCTTCAGTCCTCCCCAGTGGCGATGCTGACCTCAGAGCCCCCTAATTCCTACATCTTCACGGAGGCATGTCTCTTTAGATTATTCATAAAAAAGAGGATCTTCTTCATAGAAAAGAGGATGTGGGTCCTGGAAAGACAACTGAAATGGAATGTGAGCCACAGATTAGGGGCTCTTCTCACCCATTCAAGGACAGAGCGGCTACACAAGGAATCAGAGGGATTCCCAATGGGAATGGGACCATCTGCTTCTCCCAATCCAACCTAACACCACTGGATGACGGGAGGGAGTCCTGGTTTAACAAATGCTAATGAATGTGTGAAGAGAGGGCAGAGTATAGGCATTCCTATAGAAAGAAGAAAGAACTGAAAAGAGCAGCATCCATTGAGCATTCCCTGAACCTCTAGCATTCTCTTAGGGTAGAGAAAGGTGGGTAGAATAGGAGATGCCCACTCATCTGTAAATGCCAGCTCAGTGGGAAAACAGTATCCCAACTTTATCAGAGCAAACGGAATGCCTGATTAGATCTGGGCAAACATAAGCCAGTTGGAAAAAGCCATATGACATCAAGGTTCATATGGAAATGTACTGTGGGGTGGGGGCCAAGGGAACATGGTGTGAAAACTAAGAGGAAATGAAGCTAGGAGAAAATATGGGATGGGAATAAATGTTTATACTTGCTTTATGTGACAGAGAACTTTAGTGTTAGAAAAAAAATTGAATTTAGCTCAAGATAAAATGATAAAAGACAGTTAAATTAAAAAGAGAACTTGAAGACCTCAGGACAGAAGCTAAATCAAAGCCATTACTAAACTCAAATCTAAATTAAATTTGAATGATGAAAAGACAATCTGTTGACTTGGAGAGAATGCTTGTAAATCACATCCAAATAAGAACAATATCCAGAACATATAAAGAGTACTCAAAATTCAATAAATTAAATGATCCAAATTTAAAATGGGCAAAAGGATTTACCCAAATGAAATGAAACCTGGGTTCAAGCAAAAACTTACAGCCAAATGGTTATAGAAGCTGTATTTGTCATCTCCCCAAACTGGAAACAACTCAAATATTGCTCAGGTGGGGAGTGAATAAACATTGTGATACATCCATAAAATGCAGTAGTATTTAGCAATAAAAACAAACAAGCAATGACACTGATAAATCTCAAATATGTTGCATTAAATGAAGGAGCTAAAATCTCTACACTATGATTCCACCTATATAGGATTCTGGAAAAAGAAAGGTATAAAGACAAAATATAGGCTGGGCATGGTGGCACAGGCCTGTATGCAATACCAGGTACCTGTAAGGCTGAGGCAGGAGGAGGGCAAGCCAGCCTGTGCCACTTAGAGAGACTCTGTCTCAAAAAATAAAAAAAGAACTGGGGGGCTGGGATTGTGGCTCAGTGGTAGAGCACTCACCTGGCAGGGCGGGACCCGGGTTCAATCCTCAGCACCACATAAAAAAAATAAAGGCATTGTGTTGTGCCCATCTACACCTAATAAATAAATATTAAAAAAATAAAATAAAAAATATATTAAAAAAAAGAACTGGGGATGTACCTCAGTGGTAAAGTGCCCTCCAGTACCCACCCCCCAAAACAAAACAAAACACAAACAAACTGATAGAAGATAAGCAGTTTGGTGGTTGCTTGAGCCTGTGTGTGTGGGACAGAGAGTAAGAAGTGTGCTATAGAAAGTACCTTGATTGTGGTGGTGGTTGCATGACTGTCAACCTGTAGAACTCTACAGTAAAAGGGTGAATTTTGGGCATGTCATTAATACCTTAGTAAACTAAAAACAACAAAGAACATAGAGAAATTTAAAATGAAAATTGTGATGTGCAGAAAAGACCTACTATAATCACAGAGAATGCTAAATGACAAAGGCCAGAGAACAAAATAGGAGAGAAATTCATGTTTGCATGGAAATAAGTCGATGTAAGTTAAATTGTCTCTGAAACAAAAACAGAAAATCCAACAAATGGAAAAAAAATATGTTCACTATTTAATACAAGGAAACTTTCCTGAAAGATAAAAATAAAAAAGAATAAATAACCATACCATATTTCTAAAAATGTTCCATGGTGCTTACCACTGAGGTGTATACGCTTGAGCTACTGAGTCTTAGAAATTTTATTTATTTATTTATCTATTTATTTATTTAGAATTTTTTAATATTTATTTTTTAGTTTTTGGTGGACACATCTTTATTTTATTTTTATGTGGTGCTGAGGATCGAACCCAGCGCCCCGCGCATGCCAGGCGAGCGCACTACATCCCCAGCCCCAGAAATTTCATTTTTTAATAAATCCAAGGAGAAAGTAAAAGACCCTCTTAGAAAGAAAAAAAATAGCAGATGATCTCAGATTTTTCTGCATTTGATATTCTGTACCAGAAACATATGTCATCCTAGGACAAAAGAGCTCAAAATATTATACATTATGAAGCTTGCCTTTCAACTCTAAAGGAAACAAGAGGCATTGCCAAGTGTAAAAGATTTCAGAGAATGTATGTAAACCAAAACAATTTTCGAAATTTAAAAGCAAAAAAAAAAAAAAAAAAACAAAAAAACCTAAACAACAAAAATCTTCTGTTTCCATGACATCCAAGTAAAGGGTTAAAGAAAAAAAAAAAAAAGAAAAGCAGAATTAGAAAAATGACTTTGTAGTGAACAGTGAATCCATTTACATATAAAACTCATTATTAATAATTATAAAAATTATGCCTAATGATCATATTGGCATCATCTAACTTAAAATCTTTTAAAAAATGTTCTGAAATAACAAACAGCAGGCTGGGGACCTAGCTCAGTGATAGAGCACTTGCTAAGTATGTATGAGACCCTGGGTTCCATCCCCAGCACTGCAAAAAAAAAAAAAAAAAAAGGATTGACAAATAGCAATCTTGGCAGATACGCTAATAACTCCTGTCTAAAACTGAGGCATCAAGATTTTTGTCTAAAAATCTGGCTCTTTCATTTTTTTTCTCTTAATCTCCTTTTTTTGACTTTAGCAATATCATTCTTTTTGGAAATACCCTTTCTTATGATAAAAGAGCATTGATTACAAAGAATCTCTTTAGGTACTCCTTTTATTTCCAAATTCAACTTAAATTAAATACTATAATATCTTTAATAAAAATGGAATCTATAAAATGGTTCAATGTTTCTAAAAGTATTTCTGACTAGGCTTTTGATCCTTTTGCTCTGTATATATATAGAAATTACAATCATACCATATGTAATGATATTTAACATTTACTGTATGTCAAGACCATTCTGGGTGTTGTCCGTGGGTTAGCTCATGCATTCTCAACTTTGTAGTGCAGTAAATGTTATCATTATTATCTCCATTTACAGACGAGGAAACTGAGGCACAGTTGTATTCTGCTTAGGGAATGCTTACAAGTGGACCAGGAAGGATTAGGAAATAGGAAGCAGCCAGTCTGGCTCCTACTCTGTGCCCACAAGCTGAGCAGCCTTCCGTGGATGAACAGTGGTCAATTCTAGGAAAAGGTATGTTTCCCCCACTTTTATCTTCCTCCATATTGTTTGAACTCTTTTAATGGTGCATATTAATTTAAATAAAAAAGAATATTTTTTTTCTTTTAAATCTTTGTAAAGAGTTGGAGGAGAGTTTAAAATAAGCCAGGATGTAGTGGGAGTTGGCAATGTGGATGAGTTTGCTTTTTTTAATGTGTCTGTATTACACACTTGTATTTTTTTAAATATTGAAGAAAAATGCTTGATTGAATTCACAGTGAAGCTGACTGCCCTTTAGGCAGTTAAGCCAAATTGACATTTCTGTATGGGTTTAATTTAACTTTTTATTTTTATATTGATGGTTGTTGATTCCTTGCCTAATAATAAAATCTATATTTATTATTTGAATGTATAACTACTCCTGTTTCTTCTCAAAGTTCATTGAGATCCACCAACAAATGGAAGACCTTTTTTTAATATTTATTTTTTAGGTTTAAGTGGACACAATATCTTTATTTTACATTTATGTGGTGCTGAGGATCGAACCCAGTGCCTCATGCATGCTAGGTGAGTGCTCTCCCACTGAGCCACAACCCCAACCCCTGGAAGACTGTTTTTAAAGAGAATAAAGTATAGGTAATTACACTGAAATAAAATTAGAAGGAAATATGCCTATGCAAAAAAGATTATTTTAAAATAATTGTATTTTGAAGAACTAATATCAGATCTTTATAAACATCATTATGGAATATATCTCAGCACTCTCCACCAGCTCTCTGTTCACCTCTATTAATCTGGCTGAGAAAAAGTCATGTAGTTTATCTTCCATATGAATATAAATTATTTATATAAATAACTTTTTTCATCCATCCATTGCTGGATGGATTCTCACTAAATTTTAAGAGTATTTGAGGCCCACATTTATTTAAAATAAAGGCTGTACCATGAGCCAGATATTATATTAGGAGGTGTGGAAGTCATTTCAGAGTGTCTAGAATTGAAAATAAGAATTTATTAAATTTGGAGATTCAGTTTTGAGACAATCAATCCTAAAACATAGCCTTTGGAATGTAACCAGAATTCCCTTTAGGTTTTTTTAAGGACACCCTCAAAAGGGCAGTCATCCTGGCAGATGGCTGACAAGAAGGCCACAGCAAGAGGTTGCAGGATAGCTGAGCTGGGCGAGGTTGGCCTCCAACAGAGGAAAATTGCCCAGCAGTTTCCTATACATGCCCTGCTTGGAAGTCACAGGGCAGAACCTATGGGGAACATGTATGCCAGCCAGGATGATTCACCTGAACAATGATTTACTGATGATTCATTGAAAGCTGAATTTAATGATTCCACAGTAGGAGCACCGAGAATGGTAGCTGGAAACAGTAGTGGTAACAGCTAATATGCTGGAGGGTTGACGTAGATGTGCCATTGCTGATACCACGTCCTTTATAAGTCTGGGCCCTTCCAATCCTGACAAGTGACCAATGAGGTAAACTATCCAGTCATATCCAAGAGAAGTAACAGAGGTTCTGAACGATGGAGTACTTTTCTCAGGGGACACCTGTGATGGCAGAGGCACTGATGCCTGGGCAAGGATGTGAGCATACAGTTCTAAGTTTCTGGTCCCCCACTGATAACTGTGTAGCCTGAGAAGTTTCTGGTTCATTAACTTTGTGACACTCTGGTTTCTTGTCCATAAAATGGGGAAATGATAGCATCCTTTCTGCAGAACTGAGATGAGGGTTACATAAGTCAATAAATTCAAACTCTTAAATGATGTTTCCCATTGACACCCAAATGAAGAATGGGAAAGGACAGAGTAAGGAGGTGGCTGGCAAGCCGGAAATGGCAGCCAAGTACCATAAGGCTTCCTGGAGGATTTAAAATGATAACACGATTGGTGACTAATTGGGATCCTCCCTGCTCTGTCATGACCTTAATTCCTCACACTGCTCACCTCTCTTGAAGTCCTCATTGTTTTCCAGTTGTCTCTTGGTCTTCTGTTGAATATCACAAAGGAATCCAATGGTGAAGAGGGACAATCCTACCAATCGAAGAGGTTTAAACCATGTATATGTGGCACCAATTGATTGAGCTACACTGATGGAGCCAGTCACTTTTTGGTTCAGGTAGATAATTAATGGGGTGGTTGTCAGTGTGTTACCTGGATGAGACAGGTGTGTTTTAGTAAAGTGCTATCGAATCCTATTTGTGCCCTTATTCCTTTACCAAGTTGCCCAAACCATGGGGTTTTCTTGTGTCCTATTGGCCTGGTTGACATAACCCAGAAATTGATACCTTTACTGCCTGTTTATTTTCCACTGAAATCAATTTGGGGAAAAAATAAATAAAAAGCAAAACAGAAAAGCTGGCATCCTTTTGACTAAATGATAATAATATAGAGGGGAAGATAAGATCAATATTCCTGGGGGTGAGAAGAGAAGTTATGAAGTCACAGAAGATTGCAGCATAGTTTCAGGAACATAAACACACACACACACACACACACACACAAAACAAAACAAAACAAAACAAAACAAAACAACAAGAACAACAACCAAACGGCTGAAAAAAAAGTCTTGAAGTAATGACACTGCATGGGCTCATGAAAGGCTTCATGATCACCTCTTTTTAAGGAACAAAGCCAAAGCTGAGGCATTTGAGAATGAGAAGAAGATATACACCTGGAGAAAGAGAAAATCCTGTAGTCTAATTTTTCCAGAAGGACGTTTCAGGAGACCGAGAAACATTCTACCAAAGAGTTCCTTGATTCCTTCACACCTTAGAGTGGTATTATTCTGTTTGTGAATTTCAATTAATGCTCTCCCTAGGCCAGCCCTTGGCTTGGGCTTAGAATGAGCTTTCCTTCCCACCCAACCTGAATGTGGGCAACACCTCTGTTGGCTAACTAGCAATAGTCCCTATGAGAGAGCAGACCATTTTCTGGCACAATTTTGAACCAATCACTTTGGGTGAGTAATGGAGGTGTTTGGATTCTGTGCAATTACAGGTTACTGTATGCCATGCATCATGCTACTCAGCGAGTTTCTTCCCATAGGCAGTGGAGACAATCATTCCCTGTATCCCGTGTTCTAGAAACATCCAAATTGATGGATCATTTCTTAGAGTAGAAGTCCCACGGTCTCCAGCTAACCTGAATAGATTTGCTATTTCTGTCACCCAGAAAGTTCCCATAGTGTTCCAGTTGGTGTTCTTGCCTGCCACAGGTCACTCTCAAAAATACCCTAAATTGCAAACTTGACCTCCGTTACTGTGACTGTCTATGGACCTCCCCAGCCCTGTGTGTCTCCACCTCACATGCTGTGCTCGGTAAAGACAAGCTGCAGCAGTTCTCCACAGGCTCCAGGGCTTTACCTTTATTTATAACCTTGCTTCTGTCTGGGATACTCCTTTCCATTACTCATCTTTCAGGCATGAATTCAGGTGTGATACTCATTTCTTAAACTCCTGGGGATTCCCTGGGTGCCCTGGCCATTGTTCTTTAGAAGCACTCATCTCAAGATTATGTGCCCATCTTCCAGATGGGTCTAAAACCCACCTTGGGCAAGAAGCTTGCTATTTATTTCTGAGCATCTAGCACCTTACACGGTACCTGACACTGAGTAGACACCAACTGAAGGTTTGCTGAGCTATCTGGTTTCTGACACCCATGGAGATACATTCTCATGGGATCCACGCCCACACAGCCCATGACTTTCCCTGGGGTCAACTGAGGTGGGCCTGGACCTGAGGCTTGAGGTGACTGACATCTTCCCCTAGCATGCACAGCCAGTCCTGAGCACAGCTGAGGGAGACTAACCAAGCCTTGTGAGAGCATGGACAAAATATTCAAACCTCCTCCCTCTGCTTGTTTGGTCATTCGGAGATGGTTTTTGTCACTCCATTCTCATGCTCTGTGGTCTCCTGTGCTTTCTGGCCATCCAGCATGCTTGATGTACGCTGACTGCTGCACCCACCCAGCTCAGGACACACAGGTCTTTCAGAGGCTCCACTGGACCGTGGTAAATGGCTTTCCAGTGTGGGCTGTGGCTAAAGTCTTCTAGAGATTGTGCCTGAGTGAGGGAAAGGAAGAACAATAAAGACTCTTTGTTCCCCATTTTCCCCAACATTCCCCTTCCTCCTCCTTCTGCTTCCCATCTGATGGAAAGTGAGGAGATGATGTAGCCCTCAGGGAGTTGTCCAAAGCAGCTGGTGTGCAGACTTCATGAGAAGGGTGAGGTGGGGAGCTTCTGGATGTGGGCAGCATGCTTTTCCCCATCAGCCCAAAGGACACCCTGGAGAGTGGTGAGGAAATCAGCTTGTGCCCTCCTGACTCCTAAGTGCACACCTAAGTGCATGAGCACACATGTGCACACACCACACACCATACAGACACATACATGCTGCATACCAGACACACATAACATATACCATGTATACCACACATACCCATACACACCACCCTCCCACACACACCACACTCCATACACACTGCTTACCACACAGACATACCATGTACTATAAACCACATATACCACACATGCCACAATACACTGCACACACACACACACACACACACAGCATACCACATACACCACACACCATACACCATATATATCACAGAGATCACATATATACCATACAAGCACATTGTACACATACCACATATATCCCATACACCCACATAATCATACTGCACATACCACCATGCACATCATACACTATACATACCTCACAAACCATTCCTAGACACTATACCACACAAACCACCCACATGCACACACACACACACAAACACAAGCATGCACATACACACTCCCTATAGACACATGGGACACACCATAACACACACACACATGTATACCACACACATTTTTAATTTTTTGGCAAACCCCACTCCTATGTGAGGGTATATCCTGGGGACTAATGATAGAGTGAGGGGGAATGAAGGATACCATCCATGAATAGCCCTTAAATAAACAAGAAAATTGTTTTTTTTTTTTTGGTTTTTTTTTTTTTTTTTTTTTAATCTTCAT